CGTTTTCCTCTTCCCCCCTCCACCCCCTTTTCCCCCTCCCCGCCTCCGTTTTGTTTCCCCGGGCGCTCTCTTTTCCCCTTCTCTTTTCCCCTCTCCCCGGCGCTTTCTTTTCCGCCTCTCTTCTCTCCCCTCTCTCCCCTTTTCTCTCTCCCCCCGCCCCCTTCTCTCTTGGGCCGGTTTTTCCCCTCTCCCCTCTTCTCTCTCTCTTCTCCCCCTTTTTCCCTCTTTTTTCCCCTTTTTCCCCCCCTCTCTCTCTCTCTCTCGGGTTCTGTCTTTTTTCTTTCCTCTGTCTCTTTTCTCCCCCTCTCTCTTTTTATCTCTTCTCTCTCCCCCTCTCTCTCTCTAGATCCAGGGTATCAAGTTGATGGTGAGGTGGTTGTTGGGAGTAAAGAACACCCTGTCTAAGTCTGGTAACTCCACTCTGAGGATGCTGACTGCTATACTGCACAGTGATGGAGACCTGACGGAGCAGGCCAAGATGGGGTAACACACACACACACACACACACACACACACCAGCATTTACTTGGACTTTGACAACAACCTGACTATCTTCTCTCTCCTCATCTGTCCTCCCCTCCCCAGTAAACCAGACATGTCCAGGTTGAGGCTGGCAGCAGCTTGTGCCCTCCTGAAACTGGCTCAGGAGCCCTGCTACCATGAGATCATCACCCTAGAGCAGTACCAGCTCTGTGCCCTGGTCATCAACGTAAGATCATACACTCTAAAACACACACACACACACATGTCCTGTTCTTCCCTCATTCAAAACACCTACTCATCTGTCTGTTCTGCTTCTGTCTGTCTCTCTTGTCTGTCTCTCTCTCTCTCTGTCTGTCTCTCTCTCTCTCTCTCTCTGCTCTGTCTCCTCTCTCTCTCTCTCTGTCTGTCTCTCTCTCTCTTCTCGTCTTCTCTCTCTCTCTGTCTCTCTGTCTTCTCTCTGTCTCTCTGCTCCTTCTTCTCTCTCCTCTCTCTCTCTCTCTTCTCTCTCTCTCTCTCTCTGTCTGTCTCTGTCTGTCTCTCTGTCTCTCTTCTCTGTCTCTCTCTCTCTGTCTGTCTGTCTGTCTCTCTCTCTCTGTCTCTCTCTCTCTGTCTCTCTCTCTCTGTCTGTCTCTGTCTCTGTATCTCTCTGTCTCTGTATCTCTCTCTCTCTCTGTCTCTCTGTCTCTCTGTCTCTCTGTCTCTCTGTCTCTCTCTGTCTCTCTCTGTCTCTCTCTCTCTCTCTCCTCTCTCTGTCCTCTCTCTCTCTGTCTGGCTGTCTCTCTCTCTCTGTTTCTCTCTTCTGTTTCGCTCTCTCTGTCTGTCCTCTGTGTCTCTCTCTGTCTCTGGTATCTTCTGTCTCTGTATTCTCTCTCTCCTCTGTCTCGCTCTCTGTCTTCTCTGTCTGCATCTGTCTCTCTTGTCTCTCTCGTGTCTTCTCTCTCTCTGCTCTCTCTCTCTCTCTTCTCTCTGTCTCTCTCTCTGTCTGGCTGTCTCTCTCTGTCTTCTGTCTGTCTCTCTCTGTCTGTCTCTCTCTCTGTCTGTCTCTTCCTTTCTCTTGTCTCTGTATCTCTCTGTCTTGTATCTCTCTCTCTTCTGTCTCTCTCTCTCTCTCTCTCTCTGTCTCTCTCTCTCTCTCCTCGTCTCTCTCTCTGTCTCTCTCTCTCTCTCCTGTCTCTCTCTGTCTGTCTCTCTCTGTCTTATCTCTCTCGTCTGTCTCTCTCTGTTGTGCTTCTGTTCTCTCATCTGTCTGTCTCTCTCTTCTTCTGTCTCTTGTCTTTCTCTCTCTTCTTGTCCTCTCTTCTCTTCTGTTTCTCTCTCTGTCTCTCTCTCTCCTCGTCTGTCTCTCTGTCTCGTCTCTCTCCCTCGCTCTCTGTCTGTTCTTCTCTCTCTTCCTCTCTGTCTCTCTCTCTCTGTCTGTCTCTCTCTCCTCTGTCCTCTCTCTCTGTCTCCTCTCCTTGTCTGGTCTCTCTCTCTGTCTCTCTCTCCAGGATGAGTGTTACCAGGTGCGCCAGGGCTTTGCCCAGAAGCTCCATAAGGGTCTGTGCCGCCTGCGTCTGCCCCTGGAGTACCTGGCAGTGTTTGCTCTGTGTGCCAAGGACCCTGTGAAGGAGAGGCGGGCACACGCCAGGCAGTGTCTGGTGAAGAACATTACAATCAGGAGAGAGTACCTTAAACAACACGCTGCTGTCAGCGGTAAGAGAGAGATGGACACAGCCCCACACACACACACAGAGAAACACACACACACAGAGAAACACACACACACCGAGAGAGAGAATGGACACAGCCCCCACACACCCCACGGGAAACCCACACCAAAACACACACACACCCACACACCGAGAGAGAGATGGACACAGCCCCACCACACAACCCACACCAGAGAAACACACACACACAAAACCCACACACACACAGAGAAACACACACACAACCGAGAAACACACACACACAGAGAAACACACACACACCGAGAGAGAGAGATGGACACAGCCCCACACACACACACACAGAGAAACACACACACACACACACACCACACACACACACCGAGAGAGAGAGATGGACACAGCCCCACACACACACCCACACAGAGAAACACACACACACAGAGAAACACACACACACCGAGAAACACACACACACAGAGAAACACACACACACCGAGAGAGAGAGATGGACATAGCCCCACACACACACACACACCAAGAGAGAGAGAGAGAAACACACACACCAGGCAGTGTCTGGTCAATAATATCAACATCAGGAGAAAGTCCTGGATATTGTTTTAATCTGCTCCATGAAACCAAACCAGTCCTGGATATTATTGAATCTGCTCCATGAAACCAAACCAGTCCTATGCCATCGAAGTGCATTGTGTGTGTTAGTGTGTGCAGGGTCCAATGTTTTTTAACCTTGTTGACCTTTTAAGAAATGTATTTACATCACAAAATAGGACGTTGCCCTTTTTAAGACCACTTCTTCTCAAACGAGATAAGCTATCAATCTGGCTACAGTAGCCAAGACGAATACGGTGTCTTTTTATAGATAATCAATAGTTAGCCTATTGCTAATTTGATACTATGTTCACTATTGACGTTCTACAAAAACACATTTACTTGAAGAACAGTGCAGATGCAAAGTTTGGTAACAGAACGACGGCACCAACAGCACCGCAGGTTTCTATGGCAGGCTGTGACAGAGCATGTACATCTAACTGGACCGCCAAATGCACTGAGAAGTTGACCGGGCCAGTGACTGACGAGATCCACTGGCCCGACGCATGTTTTTACTGGCCCCGGGCCAATGGGCCATTGTTAATGTTGGATTAACCTGTCTGTTTTATATTCCAGAGAAGTTGTTCTCCCTCCTCCCCGAGTATGTGGTCCCCTATGCCATCCACCTGCTGGTCCACGACCCAGACTACATCAAGGTCCAGGACATAGAACAACTCAAAGACATCAAGGAGTGAGTCTGTTATAGTCTGCGGTATAGTCTGCGGTCATAGTCCGCTGTTGTATTCCATTGTGTTGATATATCAGTCTCTTGTTGGGAGTCCTTTCTCTACCCCTCTCACCCATCATTCTCGCTCTTAATTCAGACACTTTGGTCAGCAGCATATAAACTCGTCAAGCGGAAAACATAGGGACATAACACAAAGATGATTATAATGAACTGCAAAATGATGAGAGTAATACCTTATACAAATAATTATAACCTCCTCTTCCCCTCCTCTTATCCCCCTCCTCTTCTCCCCTCTCCCCCTCCTCTCTCACCCTTCTCCTCCCCTTCTCCCCTCTTCTCCCTCCGCCCCTTTCCCTCTCCTCCTCCTCCACCTCTCTCATCCTCTCTCCCTCCCTCTTCTCTCTCTCTCCTGCCTCTCTCCCCTCCTCTCCTCCCCCTCTTCTCCTCCTCCCTCCTCCTTCTCCTCCCTCCTCCCCCCTCCTCTTCCTCCCCTCCCCTACCAGGTCTCTGTGGTTCATCCTGGAGATCATCATGTCTAAGAATGAGAAACAACAGCCATGCCTTCATCAGGAAGATGGTGGGAGAACATCAAACAGACCAAGGACGCACAAGCTCCCCACCGACACCAAGACCAACGAGGTATATACCACACACACACACACACACACACACACACACACACACACACACACACACACACACACACACACACACACACACACACACAGATTCACGCTCACACACACACACACACAGATTCACGCTCACACACACACACACACAGACAGACACACACACCCACACAGACACAGACACCACACACACACAGACACGACACACACACACACACACACAACAGACACACACACACACACACACACACACCACACACACACACAGACACACACACACACACACACCACACACACACAGACACACCAGATTTACGCTCACACACACACAGACACAGACACCACGCAACACACACACACACACAACACACACACACACACACACACCACACACACACAGACACACAGATTTACGCTCACACACACACACACCCACACACACCACACACCACCCACCCACACACAGACACACAGATTACGCTCACCACACACACCCACCACACACACACAAGATTTACGCTCACAACACCAACACACACAACAGTATCCACGCTCACACACACACACACACACACACACACACACACCACACACACACAGACCACACAGATTTACGCTCACACAGACACACACACACACAGACACACACACACACACACACACACACAGACACACAACACACACACCACAGACAACACACAGATTTACGCTCAACACACACAGACACACACAGATTCACGCTCACACACACACACAGATTCACGCTCACACACACACACACACACACACAGATTTACGCTCACACACACAGACACACACAGATTCACGCTCACACACACACACAGATTCACGCTCACACACACACACACACAGATTCACGCTCACACACACACACACACACACAGATTCACGCTCACACACACACACACTCTCACACCCTCTCTTTCCTTCTACAGAAGCTGTACACGGTGTGTGACGTAGCCATGAACATCATAATCTCTAAGAGCACCACGTACAGTCTGGAGTCTCCCAAAGACCCTGTCCTGCCCACACGTTACTTCACCAAGCCTGACAAGGTAGGGCTGTGTTTGTGTGTGTTAGTTAGAGGTCTTCTCGGATCCCGATATTGAGATCCGAACTGGATCCGCCAAATTCACACTCGACCCCGACAGGATCCGGTCATTTCTTTAGAAAATCTATATCCGGTTAGGACCAGATCCAATCCGAGATACTGTGTGTCCGAGTTGAGCGAGAATCGGATCCAAATTTGGGTCTGTCTGTATCGGATCCAAAAGATTACAAATGCGCAAGCCATCAAAATAGTTTTGACTCTTCTGGTGCATTTTGGGTTGTATCTGAAGTAATTGATTTGTGGTCTACAGCTTAGTATTTTCATAATGACATCCCTATAGTTAGATGGAGAACATTGAGGACATCCCTATAGTTAGATGGAGAACATTGAGGACATTCCTATAGTTAGATGGAGAACATTGAGGACATCCTATAGTTAGATGGAGAACATTGAGGACATCCCTATAGTTAGATGGAGAACATTGAGGACATCCCTATAGTTAGATGGAGAACATTGAGGACATCCCTATAGTTAGATGGAGAACATTGAGGACATCCCTATAGTTAGATGGAGAACATTGAGGACATCCCTATAGTTAGATGGAGAACATTGAGGACATCCCTATAGTTAGATGGAGAACATTGAGGACATCCCTATAGTTAGATGGAGAACATTGAGGACATCCCTATAGTTAGATGGAGAACATTGAGGACATCCCTATAGTTAGATGGAGAACCATTGAGGACATCCCCTATAGTTAGATGGAGAACATTGAGGACATCCCTATAGTTAGATGGAGAACATTGAGGGACATCCCTATAGTTAGATGGAGAACATTGAGGACATCCCTATAGTTAGATGGAGAACATTGAGGACATCCCTATATTGTTGGAGACTTGAGGACATCCCTATATTAGATGGAACATTGAGGACATCCCTATAGTTAGATGGAGAACATTGAGGACATCCCTATAGTTAGATGGAGAACATTGAGGTTTTCAGAAATGTTTTCCTTCTTTCTGAGTAGGTTGTTATGTGATAGTCATTGCGTGCCAGACAGAGCTGCGAATAGTTCACTTTTGTCTGTAACCAAATAGGTTATTATACTGTGCAACATCTAACATCTAACTTATTTAACTGTTTTGATGAACATTGATTGAGACGAAAGGTAGGCTATAGCATGTTTGACCAGCAAGCTTCAAATTCATGTAGTCGTCCATCTGCATTCCTGTTTCATTTCCAACAATTGGGATTTGAAGGTCTAGGTTAGTATTCCCGCTAAGACAACACTATAGTTGGATAGAGAATATTTTAGTCAAACATTTTAAAGACGATCAGAAAGAATGTGTCAGTAACTCTGCATTATAGTGGAACTTATTTATTTGGAACGAAAGCCACGAAACTAGCGCATGAATGAGTCATGTTTATGCTGACAAATATCACACTTGATTCGAGTCATTCAACATTAGTTAACAAATGTATTAAAGGATATAGGCCAAATAGCCTAAACGAATAAATGTAATAAATAAATAAACGAGTTCAATAAATAAAATAGCTCAGGTCTTGAAAATATGGTCCAAGAGAAGCACAGCCCTTTCCCCCTCGGCCCAAGAGAAGCACAGCCCTTTCCCCCTCGGTCCAAGAGAAGCACAGCCCTTTCCTCCTCGGTCCAAGAGAAGCACCAGCCCTTTCCCCCTCGGGTCCAAGAGAAGCACTTTCCCCCTCGGCCCAAGAGAAGCACAGCCCTTTCCCCCTCGGTCCAAGAGAAGCACAGCCCTTTCCCCCTCGGTCCAAGAGAAGCACAGCCCTTTCCCCCTCGGTCCAAGAGAAGCACAGCCCTTTCCCCCTCGGTCCAAGAGAAGCACAGCCCTTTCCCCCCTCGGCCCAAGAGAAGCACAGCCCTTTCCCCCTCGGTCCAAGAGAAGCACAGCCCTTTCCCCCTCGGTCCAAGAGAAGCACAGCCCTTTCCCCCCTCGGTCCAAGAGAAGCACTTTCCCCCTCGGCCCAAGAGAAGCACAGCCCTTTCCCCCTCGGCCCAAGAGAAGCACAGCCCTTTCCCCCTCGGTCCAAGAGAAGCACAGCCCTTTCCCCCTCGGTCCAAGAGAAGCACAGCCCTTTCCCCCTCGGTCCAAGAGAAGCATAGCCCTTTCCCCCTCGGTCCAAGAGAAGCACAGCCCTTTCCCCCTCGGTCCAAGAGAAGCACAGCCCTTTCCCCCTCGGTCCAAGAGAAGCACAGCCCTTTCCCCCTCCGTATCCATAATGTGTACTCTCTCTCGTTCAGTTTATTCTTCACATCAGCAATGAACAACTTAATGTTTCAGAAACTCACTTTATATACACTAGGCTATCACTCTTTCCCGCTGCATCCTCCTACTCTCCCACAACAAGTGCGCTGTTTTTTTTACCCAGTGTCACGTGCAGTGGCTGTTTTGTCACAAAATGTTACTTTGACACATTTGGTTTAATGAATGGGGACCCCCTGATAAACTTTTAAGACAATAAACGTTGAATGTGTGAAATTTGGGTTCAGGCCTATGTTGTTTAAGAGTTAAATTCTTCAAATATAATTTAGGATCCGGTCGGTATTTCACATATTTTCACACAGATCCGTGGCCACCGAGCAAGATTCGACCCGGGATCCGAGGGTTAACAATAACATTTCGGATCCGACCCGGTCGGGTAATCGGGTTCGGGAAGATCTGTGAAGACCTCTACTGTGTGTGTCTGTGCGCTCTAATTTGCAAATAAAACTATTCAGTGGATGAACTTTCTGACTAAACTTCTCTTCTGTAGAATTTCAGCAACACAAAGAACTATCTCCCTCCAGAGATGAAGTCCTTCTTCACACCTGGAAAGGTAGGATGACTGCCCATGGTATTCATTCAGACATGCCTTAAAGGTAGGATGACTGCCCATGGTATTCATTCAGACATGCCTTAAAGGTAGGATGACTGCTCATGGTATTCATTCAGACATGCCTTAAAGGTAGGATGACTGCCCAAGGTATTCATTCAGACACGCCTTAAAGGTAGGATGACTGCCCATGGTATTCATTCAGACATGCCTTAAAGGTAGGATGACTGCCCGTGGTATTCATTCAGACATGCCTTAAAGGTAGGATGACTGCCCGTGGTATTCATTCAGACACGCCTTAAAGCCAAATGCCTTGCTTAGTCATTTCTGTACCTTGAAATGTGAATGCATAACCCATGGTTTCTGTATGGTTAATTTGCTAAACTTCGGTTGTTAGAATCAGCAATTGGGAACCCTTGCCAAACAGTGGGATAAATCGTCTAACCCAGGGGTGTCAAACATACGGCCTGTTGGTGGTTTGAGTAAAAAAATATCTATATACACTACATGACCAAAAGTATATTGGCACCTGCTCGTCGAACATCTCGTTACAAAGTCAAAGTCATTAATATGAAGGTGGTCCCCCCTTTGCTGCTATAACGGCCTCCACTCTTCTGGGAAGGCTTTCCACTAGATGTTGGAACATTGCTGCGGGGACTTGCATCCATTCAGCCACAAGAGTGTTAGTGAGGTTGGGCACTGAGGTTGGGCGATCAGGCCTGGCTCGCAGTCGGCGTTCCAATTCATCCCAAAGGTGTTCATTGGGGTTGAGGTCAGGGCTCTGTGAACGGCAGTCAAGTTCTTCCACACCGATCTCGACAAATCCATTTCTGTATGGACCTCGCTTTGTGCACGGGGGCATTGTCATGCTGAAACAGGAAAGGGCCTTCCCCAAACTGTTGCCACAAAGTTGGAAGCACAGAATCATCTAGAATGTCATTGAATGCTGTATCATTAAGATTTCCCTTCATTGGAACTAAGGGGCCTAGCCCGAACCATGAAAAACAGCTCAAGACCATTATTCCTCCTCCACCAAACTTTACAGTTGGTACTATGCATTCGGGCATGTAGCATCCGTCATACTGCAAGATGGTGAAGCGTGATTCATCACTCCAGAGAACGCGTTCCACTGCTCCAGCGTCCAATGGCGGCGAGCTTTACACCACTCCAGCCGACATTTGGCATTGCGCATGGTGATCTTAGGCTTGTGTGCGGCTGCTCGGCCACGGAAACCCATTTCATGAAGCTCCCGACGGACAGTTCTTGTGCTGACGTTGCTTCCAGAGGCAGTTTGGAACTCAGTAGTGAGTGTTGCACTATGCGGTCCCATTCTTTGAGCTTGTGTGACCTAACACTTTGCGGCTGAGCCGTTGTTTCTCCTAGACGTTTCCACTTCACAATAACAGCGCTTATAGTTAACCGGGGCAGCTCTAGCAGGGCAGAAATTTGACGAACTGACTTGTTGGAAAGGTGCCACGTTGAAAGTCATTGAGCTCTTCAGTAAGGCCATTCTACTGCCAATGTTTGTCTATGGAGATTGCATGGTTGTATGCTGACACGTCCCCCCTCTCTCTCCCTCCCTACCCCTCCCCCCTGACACATCCCCACTCTCTCTTTCCTTCCCTCCTCCCCCCAGCCTAAGGCAGCTAATGTGTTGGGAGCGGTGAACAAGCCCCTGTCCTCAGCAGGCAAACCCATCCAGAGTAAAGCCTCACGCATGGAGACGGCTAGCAACGATGATAGCACCTCTAACCCCAGCTCTCCTCAACGCACCAAGACCAGGTACACACACACACACCTCTAACCCCAGCTCTCCTCAACGCACCAGAACCAGGTACCACACACAACCTCTACCCCCGCTCTCCTCAACGACCAAGACCAGGTACACACCACACACCCTAACCCCAGCTCTCTCAACGCACCAAGACCAGGTACACACACACACACCTCTAAACCCCACTCTCCTCAACGCCCAAGACCAGGTACACACACACCAAACCCCTACCCAGCTCTCCTCAACGCACCAAGACCAGTACACCACACACCCCTCTACCCCAGCTCTCCTCAACGCACCAAGACCGGTACACACACCCACACCCTCTTCCCCCTCTCCTCACCGCACCAGCCAGGTACACACACACACACACCTTAACCCCGCTCTCCCCAACGCACCAAGACCAGGTACACACACACACACCTCTAACCCCAGCTCTCCTCAACGCACCAAGACCAGGTACACACACACACACCTCTTACCCCAGCTCTCCTCAACGCACCAAGACCAGGTACACACACACCACCTCTTACCCCAGCTCTCCTCAACGCACCAAGACCAGGTTACACACACACACACCTCTACCCCAGCTCTCCTCAACGCACCAAGACCAGGTACACACACACACACCTCTAACCCCAGCTCTCCTCAACGCACCAAGACCAGGTACACACACACACACTCTACCCCAGCTCTCCTCAACGCACCAAGACCAGGTACACACACACCCTCTTACCCCAGCTCTCCTCAACGCACCAAGACCAGGTACACACCACACACCTCTAACCCTAGACCTGACCTGTCCTCCTGTCTCCTTGTACCAGACATGACAGTGTCTCTGTCTCTGACCTGTCCTCCTGTCTCCCTGTACCAGACATGACAGTGTCTCTGACCTGTCCTCCTGTCTCCCTTGTACCAGACATGACAGTGTCTCTGTCTCTGACCTGTCCTCCTGTCTCCCTGTACCAGACATGACAGTGTCTCTGTCTCTAACCTGTCCCCCTGTCTCCTTGTACCAGACATGACAGTGCAGAGGACCACAGTGAGAATGAAGACGTCATCATGAAGAAAGGCGACACCCCTGATACAAAGGTATTTTCCTAATTATCCTTAAGTGTCTAAAATGTATTTTGTAGCTCAATTAAGTTACTTTAAGATGATTTGGACATTAAACGCGAAAATGCTATTATCGGGGATATTGACCTGCATTGGTTTTTATGTCACAAATGCAAAAAAGTTAGCATTGGGAAACAGTGGCCAGGTAAAACCATAACATGGGTTGCTGTCATACCTTGTCCATAGACTGCTTACAGGGTGAGGAATCCAATGTGTCGTTTGTAGTTTGGATGAACTATCCCAAGACTAATTTACTGAGAAAGTGTATTTTCACTTGGAAATATATCTATTTTTTTCTAGTGTTTTCCAATCAAGTGATCAGTTTGGTTACCTGGGACCTCAAAGTAACAAACTGTCAATTCCAACTTAATGGACTCTACCGCCTCCTTTATTGACAACACCGTCTTCTTACAGGACAAACCCCAGGGACGCAAGCGAGGCGCCGCCTCCAGTAACCTTGACGACAACCCTTCTCCCAAACCCAAGCGTGGCCGCAAGAAGGCAGCAGCAGTCGACCCCGAGGACCAATGGGGCGAGGACTCCCGACTCGGCGACGCCCAGACGGAAGACGAGCAGAACAGCCCGCCCAAAAAAGGGCGTAGGGGGCGGTCCACGAAGGCTGCGGCAGCCAATCAGGAAACCCCAGCTAAAGGGAGAGGGCGGGGCCGGAAGAAGGCAACTCCTCCCCCTGAAGAGGAGGAGGAGGAGGGAGGAGAGGAGGTGGAAGAAGAGGAGGAGGAGGAAGAGGAGGAGAATATGGAGGTGAAGACTAAGGGAGGAAGACCAGCGCGGGCGGCAAAGAGAGCAACACAGAGGTCAGGGAGCGTTTGGTGTTTGTTTTCTCCTTGATATATGATGTAGTCACCTCATGAAACCATTCTGGAAGATCTGTTACATTTCTGTTGACATATATTTACATACAGCGCATTCGGAAAGTATTCAGACCCCTTGACTTTTTCTACATTCTGTTACGTTACAGCCTTATTCTAAAATCGTTTTTTTCCTCATCAGTCTACACACAAAACCCCATAATGACAAAGCAAAAAATGGTTTTTAGACATGTGTATAAAAAAAAGAAATAATGGCAAATATGACATTTACATAAGTATTCAGACCCTTTACTCAGTAATTAGTTGAAGCACCTTTGACAGCGATTACAGCCTCAAGTCTTCTTGGGTATGACGCTACAAGCTTGGCACACCTGTATTTGGGGAGCTTCTCCCATTCTTCTCTGCAGATCCTCTCAAGCTCTCAGGTTGGGGAGCGTCGCTGCACAGCTATTTTCTGGTCTCTCCAGAGATGTTAGATGGGGTTCAAGTCCGGGCTCTGGTTGGGCCACTCAAGGACATTCAGAGACTTGTCTCAAAGCCACTCCTGCGTTGTCTTGGATGTGTGCTTAGGGTCGTTGTCCTGTTGGAAGGTGAACCTTCGCCCCAGTCTGAGGTCCTGAGCACTCTGGAGCAGGTTTTCATCAAGGATCTCTCTGTTCTTTGCTCCGTTCATTTTTCCCTCGATCCTGACTAGTCTCCCAGTCCCTGCCGCTGAAAAACATCCCCACAGCATGATGCTGCCACCACCATGCTTCACCGTAGGGATGGTGCCAGGTTTCCTCCAGACGTGACGCTTGGCATTCAGTCCAAAGAGTTCAATCTTGGTTTCTTTATGGTCTGAGAGTCTTTTACGTGCTTTTGGCAAACTCCAAGTGGGCTGTCATATGCCTTTTACTAAGGAGTGGCTTCCGTCTGGCCACTCTACCATAAAGTCCTGATTTGGTGGAGTGCTGCAGAGATGGTTGTCCTTCTGGAAGGTTCTCCCATCTCCACAGAGGAACTCTGGAGCTCTGTCAGTGACCATCAGGTTCTTGGTCACCTCCCTGACCAATGCCCTTCTCCCCCGATTGGAGGCCACTGTGTTCTTGGGGACCATCAATGCTGCAGACTTTTTTTGGTACCCTTCCTCATATTGGTGCCTCGACACAATCCTGTCTCGGAGCTCTACAGACAATTCCTTCGACCTCATGGCTTGGTTTTTGCTCTGACATGCACTGTCAACTGTGGGACCTTATATAGACAGGTGTGTGCCTTTCCAAATCATGTCCAATCAATTGAATTTACCACAGGTGGACTCCAATCAAGTAGCAGAAACATCTCAAGGATGATCAATGGAAACAGGATGGACATGAGCTCAATTTCGAGTCTTATAGCAAAGGGTCTGAATACTTAAGTAAATAAGATATTTCTGTTTGCAAATTGCTCTAAAAACCTGTTTTGACTTTGTCATTATAGGGTATTGTGTATAGATTGAGGAAAACAATTAATTTAATCCATTTTAGAACAAGGCTGTAACGTAACAAAATGTGGAAAAGGGGAAGGTGTCTGAATACTTTCCAAATGCACTGTAGACATTTACGCTCTTTCTGAATCATCTGTTTATTATTTCAATTTCAAATAGACAGAGATATTAACATTAACTGCAGTGTTGATAGAATCATACATGTATCTAGATATGTGTTGTCAATAAGGTCTAAACCCTGTTGTTTTCCAGTTCTGAGTCTGCTGAGTCCACCCCAGTGAAGAAGAGAGGACGACCGGCCAAGGCCGCAGCACAGCCTGCCAAGAAACAACCAGCGTAAGACTGTGTGTGTGGCAGGTGTGTGTGGCAGGTGTGTGTGTGTGTGTGTGTGTGTGTGTGTGTGTGTGTGTGTGTGTGTGTGGCAGGTGTGTGTGTGTGAGTTAGGGATATGCATCTTTCCCCTTTCAAGACGATTCGTTATTTATCGAGATACAGGAACGATGCGTTTTAGTTTGAAACGATGCAATTCGGTTTGATTAGAGAATGAATCGCTGCGTTTCGGTTTTATTAGAGAACGATTCAGTGCGTTTCGGTTCGATAAGATTCGATGCTCTAGCATTTGTTGCATAAACACATTCATTTTCCATTCTGAATTCAAATCTGCTGCTGATATGGAGCTCATGAGGTGGGCCTGTGTGGTGTGTGGTGTGTGTGTGTGTGTGTGTGTGTGTGTGTGTGTGTGTGTGTGTGTGTGTGTGTGTGTGTGTGTGTGTGTCACCCCACTAACAGAATAGGGGGGACAATGTAACCCATGTTTTTTGTCCCCCCACTTTACTTCTGAAATCCCCATTGCCCACTAATTAACAGATTGTTTAAGCTAGTAATGTATCAATATTTATCGTTTACAAATTAACAATGACATAGCCAATCAATATAAAGCAGACCTTTTGGATCTCACCCCATCTCAAAATCAAATGGTTTTGACCGCTTCGAAGTTTTTAGAGTGACCTTCTCTGCAGTGTGCCTCAGAAAGTGATCGCTGTCCTCGCTATGAAATTATCTAACTTTACCCTGTATATCTAAAAAATGACCATATACACTGATTGTTTAAAGGTGCAATATGTAACTTTTTGGGCGACCCGACCAAATTCACATAGAGATGAGAGTATAGATCTGTCGTTCTCATTGACCCCAAGTCTAAGAAGCAGTAGATCTGTTCTATGTGATCTATTTCTACGCTTCCCGTTCTTAAGTTTAGTTTTTGAGTCTTTTACTTTCGGTTTTGTACACCAGCTTCAAAACAGCTGAAAATACAATATTTTTGCTATACTTGCTTGTTTTGTCACAGAAACTGAAATTAGGCGAACTAGTAGAATTTTAGCAACCAGGAAATGGGGGAGCGTTTTCTGCGTAGTGCATCTTTTAACGCAAACCTACCAAAACTATTGCTGATGGTGAACCTGAACAATCAAAATAAAATCGAATGTAAGCCCCGTTCAGCAGGTATATCCAGACGAGTTGTCTCCAGTAGCTTACTTTTATTCCAGTAAAACACCATTTTCAACAGCGCGTAGATAACAGTAAACTAGCAAATGATATAGGTTGTCACTCAACTAATAAAGGCTTATAATCACACAAACCGGGTTTCTGACCAATGCAGTGCTACATTTGGATCTGTTTGGGGTCCATGGACCGATGCACTTGTGTCTTAAACATTTGAATCAGGGCCGGATGCGTGTTGGTGAAACGTTACATCCCTAGTCTGCGTGAAATGGGATGTTTACGTGTGTGTGTGTGTGTGTGTGTGTGTGTGTGTGTGTGTGTGTGTGTGTGTATCTAAACCAGTCTCCTCCCCTGTCCTATAGGCGTGGCCGTGGTAAGGCAGCAGCAGCAGCCAAAGAGGAGTCGGATGAGGAAATTGAGACACCGCTTGAGGAAGAGGAGGAGGAGCAGGAGGAAGAGGAGAAGGAGGAAGAACAGACCACTCCTAAAGTACAGGAACCTTCAACTCTGACCCCTAACCTTTACCCTAACCTAACCTTTCACTCCTAACCCTAAACCCTTTAACTCTGGATAGAATATGCAGAAACTCAAACCTTTGGTATCTTACCAGATTTATGTTCTGACCAGCTTTAACTGTCTGTTGGGGTCAATTCCATTTCAATTCAGGAAGTACACTGAAATTCCAAATCTCTTCTATGCTTTTCAATTAGCAAAAGGTGGAATTTGAATTAGGTTTACTTTCTGAATTGACTGGGATTTAAATGGAATTGACCCTTGCTGTCTGGCTATTTGTTCTATGTTGAATGTTAGTTGGTTAAACGTCAGACTGACTGGCTGTTTGTTCTACACTACATGACCAAAAGTATGTGGACACCTGCTCGTCCAACATCTCATTCCAAAATCATGGGCATTAATATGGAGTTGGTCCCCCCTTTGCTGCTATAACAGCCTCCACTCTTCTGGGAAGGCTTTCCACTAGATGTTGGAACATTGCTGCGGGGACTTGCTTCCATTCAGCCAGCAGAGCATTAGTGAGGTCGGGCACTGATGTTGGGTCGATTAGGCCTGGCTCGCAGTCGGCGTTCCAATTCATCCCAAAGGTGTTCGATGGGGTTGAGGTCAGGGCTTTGTGCAGGCCAGTCAAGTTCTTCCACACCGATCTCGACAAACCATTTCTGTATGGACCTCGCTTTGTGCACAAACTGTTGCCACAAAGTTTGAAGCACAGAATCGTCTAGAATGTCATTGAATGCTGTAACGTTAAGATTTCCCTTCACTGGAGCTAAGGGGCCTAGCCCGAACCATGAAAAACAGCCCCAGACCATTATTCCTCCTTCACCTAACTTTACAGTTGGCACTATGCAATGGGGCAGGTAGCGTTCTCCTGGCGTCCTCCAAACCCAGATACGTCTGTCGGACTGCCACATGGTGAAGCGTGATTCAACACTCCAGAGAACTTGTTTCCACTGCTCCGGAGTCCAATGGTGGCGAGCTTTACGCCACTCCAGCCGATGCTTGGCATGAATTACATTTTATGTTATTTTTAATTTTTTTGTTAAATTGCCAGTTGGCAACCCACCCCTTCATGTGTGTTAATTGACACACAATCAAACATTACAATAATTCACTGTGATAATTCAGTTTCAATTCAATTCCGGTGTTTTCTGCAGTGCGCATACTTTTTTTTTTATCGAAAATAAAATCGAAATCAATAGATAATAGTGAATTATGTTATCCAAACAATTAATGCATTTGCAAACATTTCTAAAAACCTGGTTTTTGCTTTGTCATTATGGGGTATTGTGTGTAGATTGATGAGGGGGGGAAAATAATTTAATACATTTTAGAATAAGGCTGTAACGTAACAAAATGTGGAAAAAGCCAAGGGGTCTGAATACTTTCCGAATGCACTGTATACAGATAAATAAATACAGAAAAATGAAACGGAAGGGAGCTCTTTTTCTTTTATTCCAGGCTTTATCTAAATATTCTGCAAACGGAAATACACAATGGACAAAAAACCATTTCAGTTTCTCCTCATGGCTCAGCTACATAATGCCAGGGTATATCTGGTGGTCTGTCTCCTCATGGCTCAGCTCATAATGCCCAGGGTAATCTGGTGGTCTGTCTCCTCATGGCTCAGCTACATAATGCCATGGTATTTCGGTGGTCGTCTCCTCAGCCACATAAGCCAGGTATATCTGGTGGTCTGTCTCCCTCGCTACATAATGCCAGGTAAATATCTTGTGGTCTGTCTCCTCATGGCTCAGCTCCATAATGCCAGGTATATCTGGTGGTCTGTCGCCTCAGCCACAATAATGCCAGGGTATATCTGGTGGTCTGTCTCCTCAGCTACATAATGCCTGGGTATATATGGTGGTCTGTCTCCTCAGCCACATAATGCCAGGGTATATCTGGTGGTCTGTCTCCTCATGGCTCAGCTACATAATGTCAGGGTATATCTGGTGGTCTGTCTCCTCAGCTACAGTAATGTCAGGGTATATCTGGTGGTCTGTCTCCTCAGCCACATAAGGCCAGGGTATATCTGGTGGTCTGTCTCCTCAGGCTACATAATGCCAGGGTATATCTGGTGGTCTGTCTCCTCAGCTACATAATGACAGGGTATATCTGGTGGTCTGCTCCTCAGCTACATAATGCCAGGGTTATATCTGGTGAGTCTGTCTCTTCAGCTACATAATGCCAGGGTATATCTGGTGGTCTTTCCTCCTCAGCTTCATAATGCCAGGGTATATCTGGTGGTCTGTCTCTTCAGCTACATAATGCCAGGGTATATCTGGTGGTCTGTCCTCCTCAGCTACATAATGCCAGGGTATATCTGGTGGTCTGTCCTCACTCAGCTCATAATGCCAGGGTATATCTGGTGGTCTGTCTCCTCAGCTACATAATGCAGGGTATATCTGGTGGTCTGTCTCTCAGCTACATAATGCCAGGGTATATCTGGTGGTCTGTCTCCTCAGCTACATAATGCCAGGGTATATCTGGTGGTCTGTCTCCTCTCAGCTACATAATGCCAGGGTATATCTGGTGGTCTGTCTCATTCAGCACATAATGCCAGGGTATATCTGGTGGTCTGTCTCCTCAGCTACATAATGCCAGGGTATATCTGGTGGTCTGTCTCCCCAGCACATAATGACCAGGGTATATCTGGTGGTCTGTCTCCTCAGCTACATAATGCCAGGGTATATCTGGTGGTCTGTTCCCCTACATATCCAGGGAATCTGTGTTGTCTCTCAAATAATGCCAGGGTATATCTGGTGGTCTGTCTCCTCAGCCATACATAATGCCAGGGTATATCTGGTGGTCTGTCTCCTCAGCTACATTAATGCCAGGGTATATCTGGTGGTCTGTCTCCTCATGGCACAGCACATAATGCCAGGGTATATCTGGTGGTCTGTCTCCTCAGCCACATAATGCCAGGGTATATCTGGTGGTCTGTCTCCTCAGGCTACAATAATGCCAGGGTATATCTGGTGGTCTGTCTCTCAGTCAGCTACATAATTCCAGGGTATATCTGGTGGTCTGTCTCCTCAGCTACATAATGCCAGGGTATATCTGGTGGTCTGTCTCCTCAGCACATAATGCCAGGGTATATCTGGTGTGTCTGTCTCCCAGGAAATAGTGACAGTGTATATGTGGTCGTTCCTAAAACCACAAATGCAGGGAGTCAAATGGTCTGTCTCTCACATCCTATGCGGGTTATATGGTGGTCTGTCTCCAGCTACACAATGCCAGGGTATATCTGGTGGTCTGTCCCCTCAGCCACACATGCCAGGGTATATATGGTGGTCTGTCTCCCAGCTACATAACTGCCAGGGTTATCTGGTTGTCTGTCTCCTACAGCTACATAATGCCAGGGTATATTTGGTGGTCTGTCTCCTCAGCTACATAATGCACCCGGGTATATCTGTGGTTGTTCCTAGTAATAATGCCAGGGTATATCTGGTGGTCTGTCTCCTCAGCTACTATATGCCCAGGGTATATAGGTGGTTGTTCCTCAGCACATAAGCCAGGGTATACTGGTGGTCTGTCTCCCGACCTACATAATGCAGGGTATTCTGGGTCGTCTCCTCAGTATATGCCAGGGTATATCTGGTGGTCTGTCTCCTCAGCTACTAATGCCAGGGTATATCTGGTGGGTCTGCTCCTCTCAGCTACTATGCCAGGGTATATACTGGTGGTCTGTCTCCTAAGCCACATAATGCCGGGTATATCTGGTGGTCTGTCTCCTCAGCCACATAATGCCAGGGTATATCTGGTGGTCTGTTCCTCAGCTACATAATGCCAGGGTATATCTGGTGGTCTGTCTCCTCAGCTACATAATGCCAGGGTATATCTGGTGGTCTGTCTCTTCAGCTACATAATGCCAGGGTATATCTGGTGGTCTGTCTCCTCAGCCACATAATGCCAGGGTATATCTGGTGGTCTGTCTCCTCAGCTACATAATGCCAGGGTATATCTGGTGGTCTGTCTCCTCAGCTACATAATGCCAGGGTATATCTGGTGGTCTGTCTCTTCAGCTACATAATGCCAGGGTATATCTGGTGGTCTGTCTCCTCAGCTACATAATGCCATGGTATATCTGGTGGTCTGTCTCCTCAGCTACATAATGCCAGGGTATATCTGGTGGTCTGTCTCCTCATGGCTCAGCTACATAATGCCAGGGTATATCTGGTGGTCTGTCTCCTCATGGCTCAGCTACATAATGCCAGGGTAAAATCTGGTGGTCTGTCTCCTCAGCTACATAATGCCAGGGTATATCTGGTGGTCTGTCTCCTCAGCTACATAATGCCAGGGTATATCTGGTGGTCTGTCTCCTCAGCTACATAATGACCAGGGTATATTGGGTTCTGGAATAAGGACAAGTGTATATCGTATTAGAAAGCCCAATAGAGGATCAAATGCATTTAATTCTCTATTTCTTCGAGGTCACAATAGTTACATAGTCTTTTCCTCTTCCATTTCACCACAACACCGACCTGTTTCAATACGCAGTGTCCCTGATCTTACCTGTGCACAAAGCCACCTCTAGCTTTCAGGTCAGTTAAACATAATATATCTCTTATTTTAGGTAGCTGGTACATAACATATCTCTCACACATGAATTCACCCTTAATCAAACAGAAGGTTTTTCATTTGGGGTTATAATTCATCTCCTCCACCCATTTCAACAGTTTTTGAAATAATATCTGTCTCCTTTAACTTGGCATTGCGCATGGTGATCTTAGGCTTGTGTGCGGCTGCTCGGCCATGGAAACCCATTTCATGAAGCTCCCGACGAACCGTTATTGTGCTGACGTTGCTTCCAGAGGCAGTTTGGAACTCGGTAGTGAGTGTTGCACTCTGAGGACAGACAATCTTTACGCTCTACGCGCTTCAGCACTCGGCGGTCCCGTTCTGTGAGCTTGTGTGGCCTACCACTTCACAGCTGAACCGTTGTTGCGCATACATGTTTCCACTTCACAATAACAGCACTTACAGTTGACCGGGGCAGCTCTAGCAGGGAAGAAATTGGACGAACTGAGTTGTTG